ATTGGTCCCAGTAACAGTCCAAAAAATGGTGCTGAAGTAAAAACGTTGTGCAATTTGTGCAATGTACGTGTGAAGGCATGGGGTGACGTACCGTCAAAGTTGGCCATGTTGAATCCTGTGCTCCCTTTTCGGTGAATTTTTCGTCTCCCCTAGTTGAACGACTCCCTCCAGGGAATTTATGCCGGATCTGCCCAAAAATTGTAAGTGCAGAAGGAAAATGTTCTGAAGTTAAAAGTTGTGGCCCTATTTGTGTAACATAACGTTGAAAGGGCGTGTCGTGGGTGCCGTCAAAATGGCCACGTTGAATCAAAATCTCAAACTGTGATCCATTTCTTGGCATTTATGGGACTTCTGTTTTAACCCGAACTCCTCCTACAGATTGTCAGATGACTTCAAATTCCAAATCACTGCATCTAGACACACTGGTGATCAAAATGTGCTATTTGTCGAATAGTTATGATAATGAAACACAGGGGCACGTTGTAGCAAGTGGTGCCTAGCTCACATAACCAAAATCCCTGTTTGTCGGTTTGTAGCCGCCCCCCCCTAAACCCCCAGGAAATTTAAAAAAGCCAGCCCCCTGGCGCTACGCCATGTTTCCCGATATGTAACAAAATCGGTAGGCCACGTGTAAGACTGCCAAGACGTACAAAAAAGCCTCCATTGACCCATACCCCAAAACCGCCACGGAAGTCCGCCATTTGATTTCATTTTCGCACTTCGGTGAAAATTTTCGCGTCTGTATTTGAACGAACTCCCCCTCCCCCTAGGGATTATGAATCTGAATTCCAAAATTGCCATAAGAGAATAAGAAAATCGGTGCTGATTAAAGTGTGCTATTTGTTGTAAATGTACTTAAATGCCGTTCCGTGGCTGGTATCAAGAGTCAGCCCCATTTTATACTTTTCCTGTCATTTTCTGTCCATTTTTCGCTTGTTTTGAACGAACTCCTTCTAGGGAATCATCACCCATCTGCTTCAAAATTGGTCCAGTACAGTCCACAGGCATGGTGCTGATTAAAAAGTTGTGCTATTGCAGCACGTACGTTGAAGGGCGTGCCGTCGGCGCCGCCCGTCAAAAAAAAGTTGCGCCCAGGTTGCAATCCGAATCTCAAACCCGTGATCCATTTAAGCGCATTTAATGGCTTCTGTTTTAACTAACTCCCTCCTACACAATTTTATCAGATGACTTCAAAATTCGATCCCACCCTACATCCTAGACACATTCGACAAACGTTGTGCTATTTGTGACTGTACGTTTAACCGCCGTGCGCCGTGACGAACGTGCGAATTCCGCTGATTGGCCCATAAAAACACTTAGTACTCAATATCCTTTAGTATCCAATGAAAGCACGTCCCTCACCACCTTCCCGTGTACGTGGTCCAATTCAATGAAACTTCACACGTTTTAAGAAGGATAACCAGTCCGCCCTGAAACACTCTACTGACCGAACCCATTCAGCAATATAGTGATACGCGCCACCCTACTGCAAGCAGGCAAGTAAGCGCGCATAGTGCCGTTTTCTGAATCTGCTTACTTGAAATCTTTCATGTTGTGGTCCGCGACGTGTTAGCGACGCCACCCGTGACCGGCGCGGGCAGCCGCCCCGAGTTCGCGTGGAGTGCCGAGGGCCCGCCCAACGCTGCTTGCAGCTTTAATTAAAATTTCGTTTTGATCACTAAATCAAGCTCCTCCTGCTCATACATCAAAATCAGGTTCCTCTGGGGAAGATTTTATTGTTTTTGTACGTGGTCTTGTATTATGAGCCTGTGTGTTGCATGTTGCTTTTTTTTTAGAATTAGAGTGTCCAAAATAATGCTTCGATTAACGATCAACATTATTATTTCCCTTTTTTTCCTTACTATTGTTGCATGCTTATAATTGATTAACCTTGAATAACTTTGTCGTTTTAATTTTTTAAGGTTTAAGGTTTTTAGGTTAACTTCGTAATCTGTCAAGGGACAACAGATAAAAAATAGCCTCTTGCTAGCTCTGCCGCATTTACAGAAATGTTGCTTCTATTGCAAAAATTAAACCAATAAAAATATAACGCTATAATAATAAAGACACTTTGCGTTGGAGGCTTTAAGATAGTAGATTGTAGTTTAGTCTGTAGGGACTTGGCTTGGGAACCGGAGGGTCACCGGTTTAAGTCCAGCACAGACCACAGTATGGAGTGTTGACTGGAAGCTGGAGAGGTGACAGTTCCATCTCCTGTGCACTGCCGAGGCAAGGCACCCAACCCCTAACTGCTCGCGGAGCGCCCCTATGTGGCAGCCCATCTCACCGCGTTTGCATGTCTATAAGTCCTGCATGTGCATGATTGTATTTTGGGTCTGTACTTCTTCTAAATAGTTGCAATTATATTTCTGTCCATGGTGAAATCCTTTAATAAACTAATTAATAATTCTTTTAGCTTTTTCAGACAAATAAACACGCAGACACACTTTGTATGATTGACAAAACAGAAGGACCTTTATTGTTTGAAGGCACAAGACAGAGGTCTCTCCGTTTGGTTTTTTTGTTCCATGGCTGAAGTTTTTTCACCATGTGCCAGCCAATTACAAATTCCTGAACAAGCAAAGGGCGCTGTCTTAATCTCTACAAGTCATGAAAAATTTGAAAGTATTTAGCGAACAGTCTCTCAGTTCTGGCTTCACAGTAGGACATTTACTATCCACTGTTTCTCTTAATCTCATATTCTGCAAACCACCTGTCATGCCATTTGTAGTATCATAAAAATAATCATCTTAAAACAAGTAAGCAATGCCTTGACTATAAACAAAAATATTATCCAGGATAGCATTGGTGCATTTAGAAATGCAGTTGGATGACAGTAAATCATAAAAAAAAAAATTGTATAAAAAATAATTTCTTAAATAAAACAGAGCAGAGACAAGGAACAAATAAGGAACATTTGATGTTTGTGCCGTTGTGGTTGCTAATAATTCATCATCCTGACATACAGTGGACTTTATGTCCATCAATAAAAGTACAATTTGACTTTTATTTGCCTGGTCATATTTTTAGTCCCTTTTATGAATGACAATGAAATCATGTACTAGGACGGCAAAGCAGAAACATATTATATTGCTGAAAAACTAATTGCAAAGGACTAAGATTGAATATTTTAAAACATTAGTTTCAAATAAAATGTGATTTTTGCAAGTCCTTTCAACCTAACAATCGAACACTGAACTGACAGAAGGACAGTGAAAATAATACTACATACCGTCAGTGCAAAACATGTATTTAAAGACTGCTGAAGTGGTTAGAAATGTTACCATATGTCCAACTTGGTCACAAAGCGAGCTCTTCCAAGAACTACTGAGGTCTAACTTAATTGCAGGACATGAGGGGATGTGGTCCTGCTATTAGTGCATATATTCCAGTTACCTACACAGTAAATACAAATGTAATAAAAGTGCAACAGTGATAACGAATAATAAAGCATAATTAAAAGGTCAAATAAAAGATGTCATGAAGGCAGTAAGGAAACCTTTGTAAGAGATATACTTTGGTCATTTGCTGTACCCCAGGCTTCAAACTGTGAGTAGCGGTCACTTTTTCAAACAATTTCAAACATGTACTTATCTTACTCCAAGGTGCAGCTGCAGCCTTATCTTTATAGAGTTTAAGAATTTTCCATTTATAGTGTGGAAATTAAAATGTCTCCTCACATTACTCCTCAGATGATTGATGATTACAGTGTCTGTTCAGCTCAGCTTGCGAGTCTTCTCCATTTTGTGTTAGCAAAGAGAACAATACAAAGTGCAAGACAGACAGTGTGTTTCCTGTTTTTTTCAATGCCTGTTGTACTACTACACTGATAACTTTAAATTTGAACAGGTAACTACACACTGCATGTCAGATTTTTGAAGGATCATTTTCAGTGGACACAGAAGCTGTGGTTGTGGTTGCTAGGGGCAACATTTTTCTAGTGATCTAAGAAGACTGATGCAGATTTACTAAAGAGTTACTAAAGCCCTGGCACTGCCTGGGTCTACAGCGCATGTGCGTTGCGGAACATCTTCCTTTTTATTTTTGCACCCATATTTTCAGGTTACAGCAGCCATGGGTGTGCCATGTGATTTATGTGGTCTATGTGAGCAGCCATGCAGTGCATTCTGGTAGCGTTTCAGGGGAAGCGGCGTCATGTTAGCTGATCCTCATTTGCATAAAGTGGAAGTCCATGCTACTTTATGCAAATCAGGAGCGTCCGGCAGCACGACTCACCACCCCTGGGCGGCTGTGGCGCAGAGGCACAGTGGGTCGTCCCCTAATCAGAAGGTTGATGGTTCGATCCCCGACTCTTCCTGTCAAAGTATCTTTAAGCAAGATACTGAACCTCAAATTGCTCCCAATGCTGTGAATGTGTTCAGTGAATGATGTTGTTTACTGCTTTGGATGGGCTTTACCATCACTGGTTTTTCTGTGCTGTCGACTGTGTTTGATTAGTCAGCTGATAACAGATTAAAAATTACATTACATAATTAACAGTACAAGTACTAACGATTTTGAGCTTCGTGTGATATGTGGGTGTGAAAGGGAGTGAATGGTGGGCAAGTAGGGGTGTAAAAGGTGGCTCTTTGATGTGGTCGGAAGACAAGAAAGCGCTATACAAAGTACAGGCTTCCCATTTACCATTTACCTCTGACACTCGCAAAAAACTTTTAAACTAACTGTTTTCAATCAAAAACAAAGAAAGATTTAACAACTGCGTGGCTTATTTCTTGCTTAAAACGTTTTCCGAAAAACATTTCGGTGAACTAGAGCGAACATTTTCAAATGAGTCGCAATGTTGGTTCAGTTTGAAATCCAATAGAAGAAAGAGTTTGTTTCAGGTGCAGGGTTGTAGGAGAATGTAGCCTTTTGCAACTACAAGCGTCCAATGCTGGGAAGTGGTACGACCCATAGCATCCAAAAACACCCCTGTGGCATGGCTGCAGCAAAGCTTCACTAGAGAGTGGAGGTCCTGTTATGTGTAACAGGTTACTGTACAGCTACATCAATTTCAACTTTTATTGGCTTCAGAAGGGGGAGCGTGACAGAAAAAAGTTTGACTGAGTCATGATAACACTGTAGTCACCTAAATAATTTCTGAGATCATCAATGCTTTGAGCTTAATGCTATCAGATCCTCCTGCTGTTGTGTCCTGTTGCTCACAGTTTGAATGCACAGCAAGTGTTGAATTATCAGCAATCAATGTGGATCGTTTGGGAGTTAGCTGTGACTTCAAACTTTTTGTATACAGTTCAACATAAAGGTAAAGTCAAATAGCCAGTGGATCTGAGGCTAGGCTGGAGGCAGGCTGACCATTCTTGTATTTCAGTCAAGTCTACTGAATGGTTTCACTGAAGAACTGTTCCCTACTGTACCGTAGAGAATGTGTGTATGGTTTTGAATGTCCTGTGTGTGTGGGTGTGTGTGTGGGTGTGTGTGTGTGTGTGTGTTGGGGAATGCCTACATGCGAATAAAAATTAGACAGATAAAGAGGCTCGGGACCAGGCTGAGTCTGGGGGTCCGAAAGGACAGCAGGATGTCCAGAGTGGCATCAAATAGTGATGTAGTGCTGTCGCAGTTTTGCCACAAGGAACTCGTGGGTTAAATTATGTCTTGTGATTATTCCAACAATCTGAAAAAGATGGCAAACACAAGTTTGTACAGACACAACATAATTCACTGCATGCTGGACTAAAACAAAACAGTAAGGTTTTTATTAGGAGTTTTCCCTGATGTGTCAGGATCCAAACACAGCGTTTAAAGGCATACTATGCAGGGTTTCCGTTGCAGTTTGTAAATGCACCATTCAAAGCGGGCCCCTCCTCCCTAGCCCAACAGAGAGCAGAGTGAATAGGTGTGAGGGAGTGCAGTTACAGAGAACAAACCAGTGAATCAGAAAACTAATACCTTCTGGTTGTTTCACAGCTGTTACGATCAAAAGGCCCTGACACACATGGTTCTTAATTTTGGGCCATCGGTGAGCATCTGTAGCCCTAGTTTTTGCACTCGTTGGCCCTTGTCTGCGGCTATTCCAATCAGGTGAGCATGCTGAATCAAAAGTGAAAAATATTACTCTCATTGGCAGTTTAGCTGCACAGAATCAACCTCCATCCATAGGGCAGCATTTGTTTATATCTGCAGTCTTGCAGAAGGTGCACATTGCCGGATTTTGTGCCGAAGCTGCACGGTCTGCTGTGGCTGTCTGCTGTGTGTAGCACAGCCCTGCCCTCGGTACACATTTGTGGTCTTGTAGACTACAAATCTCCACACTTTGTTTTAGCTCTGTGTCAGTGCCGGAGAGGAGAGGGACAGAGACAGTGATATGCTTGCTATGTTTTGTAGCATGTAGCATAAGTCTTTTAGGAAAATCGTACCTGATATGCCTTCAAAAGTTCATACTGGAGGTACTGAAAACTTTCATCATCATTTTGGAACAGAATGACTCTTTCCATGACTACTTACTTCTCCGACAGCATTGGTTACTGGTAAGTGTCGCAGGCCCATGGTCCTGAACAGGTTGAACACCTGGGAAATGCGGGTGTTGGGTGACACTGTGTAGGGACATGGGTTCATGTAGGGTGTGACATCCTAGGAACACAGGGAACATCATCTTAACATTTTTGTTGAAATCTTTTAGAAATCTTGTTCAATTCTCAAAGTTTAAATCGGTCGTACCACTATCATGCGGGGGTTGAGCAGGGCCAGGTCCAAGTCATGGATGTCAGGGTAACGTGGGTAATCTTCAGTCATCTCTGCATAGGACAACCTGGGCTGAGTGGCACTCTGTGATGATATGTAGAGACATTCATATGTACATAACAAAGAAAATTACTCTTACAAATATATATTTGTGTGTGTGTGTGTGTGTCACTGACCGACTGGTTCTCAGCATAGCAGACCCCTCTGATGAGCAGGTTGACCAGCTGGGAGCGGAGGATGAGGCCGTGGAAGGTGAGTGGTCTGAAGCGCTCCTCCATGGTCCACTCTTCACTGGGAGACTGATCTGGGTACAGGTTTGGGTAGGGAGCATACCTGCATGTGGACAGCAATAATACAACAATTACAGGAGGGCTGGTTCAGTGCTAGAACAGCAACTGTGAACCTATTGTGACCCACCCACTGGTTTGTGGAGTACCGTTTTGAACTCCAGTTCAGCATTATGGCCGTTGCCATGACAATTTTTTGCAGCCAGCAGTGGTGATGTACTGCAAGTTAGGCTGCTCTCATTGGCTGCACAGTTTTAACGAGTCTGTAGCAATGGCAGCTTTCCTGGTCTCAGACGTTCTCATATTACAGATAAACAGTACACTAAAATACGTTTCTGAAAAGGCTTGAGGAGAGAAACAGGCAATACAATAACATTTCATATTTGATCAGCACTGCGTAGTTTGACAGTTTGACACACAATGTGTATGAATGTCTAGTTTCCGTTCTGATGAGCAGTTGGCACTTTGCATGGCAGCCACTGCCATCAGTGTATGAATGTGTGCGGATGGGTGAGCCTGGGATATGTAGTGTACAGCATTTTTAGTGGTCGCAATATAAATACCATTTAGTCATGCCCTCAAGCAGTGGTCGCCAAAGCTTCGTGGGGGATTGCAAGACCATCTTGATTTTAAGATGTGAAGTAGTGAACACGGTAACTTTCTACTCTTCCGACCTCTCAAAGCGCTTTTACTACATGGCACATTCACCCATTCACACACATTCATACAGTGATGGATGACCCATCACGAAAAGAAACTACATATACAGTTGTGCTCATAAATGTACATACCCTGGCAGAATTTGTGATTTTTTTGGCCATTTTTCAGAGAATATGAATAATAAGAGAAAAACGCCAACCTTCTGATTAGTGGACGACCTGCTCTACCTCCTGAGCTTCAGCCACCCCAAGCTTACAGCATCTGGTATTCCTCGGCGGTCTGTCCTACCTCCTCTCTAACATCTGCTGCAGCAGGTCCTCTCCCTCTTCTGCAGGCTCTACCACAGTGTTCTGCTCATCGCAAACATTCCTCAGCTCGCTGGATGGGTATGACTTCATGGACTGGCACCGCCGCCGCTGTTCCCCCGCACGGGACATTACACTGGATTTCTACATGTGACAGTGAAGGGTAAGTTTATACTGATAAATTAAAATTGTAGTGGTGCAGATCCATTTGAACACCCCCAAACCCCACCACTGTCCCAAACAGAACATCTTATATCTACATTAGCAGTTTAAAGGTCCAGATTGTAACATTTAGGAGGATCTACTGGCAGAAATGGCATATAACAACAGAATGAGCCGTTTGTATCTACAGAGGAGCGGGTCCTCTTCTACAGAGGCTGCCATGTTTCTACAATAGTCCAGATTGGACATACCAAACAGATAGATAAGGCCATTTGTGTTTTTCATGAGTTTCATGGCCACCCTAGTTTCTCCTACACTCTTGGAAGGCTGAGCTGGTTACAACCTGCAACTTCACCACTAGATGCCACTAAATCCCACACCGGGCCCTTTTAAATCTAGGAAATCTTAATGATATTGGTGCTTTATTACTTGCTGAGGCACATTAAAATAAAGAGAAATGCAAAAGGCTGTTTTTATTTTTTATTATGCACTTAAAAGGCGTTTGAGCCAAATAGAAAATATTTTTCTTATTGATTGATTTCATTAAAAAATTTAATGGTTTCAATATGTGTGCTTAACTGATTCAGAATGCAATATGGATAACATATTATATCACAGTTTTTATAACTTTACATTCAGACATCAATATATTAGACATGTTTTTTCCTCCTCCATACCGATTCTGACACCTGAACACCTTATAGATAGATATATATTATTATTTTTTAACACGCTAAAGCCCGTATGATTGCTATTATTGTTGGATGGCCTGGCTAAGGTTAGAGTCAGAGTCAGAGTAGGGCAGGTCATGACTTCACTATCCTGGGGGGGGAAAATGGAGCACAGAACACTGCTGGGAAATAGCAGGGTTTTAGGGCTAATAAAAAAACAATATCGGATTGGTGCACAGGGACACATACTTACTGATACACCATACCACATTTTAGGCAGTATCTGAGCACTTTCTGATACTAGTATTGGAACAAATCTAAAATATATATTAGGATATAGTACATTTTCAGGAAAGAAAAATAATCAGACAGGGACAAGTGTTTTTGTCCAATCCAGTGAAGTATCCACTAAATCCAATATTTCCATGAAGTACTCCTACTCATTAATTTGAAATTTTGCCCACACTGGCCTAATGCATCCAGAGATATTAAAGCATAGGTCTAGCGTCAGTATTGTAGGTTACTGTAGAAGAGAGAACAAAATAAACTAGGATTTTTATATTTGGTCTACGACTGCTGACACTAAAGACAGACCTCTACCTCCATCTACTGGTTACACCGTTAAATAAACTACATATAAATCATGAATGCAGTGCTTTCAAGAGAAAAACTAGTTTTTATAAAATAAGTAACAGGAAAGAAGAACTTAGAAGACAAGGAGAAAATTATGGGAACCAAACAGCTCTTTCAAATAAAATTTGACAATAGCTAGAACATACACAGACTTTATGTCCATGCTTTACCAGGGTGTCAGTATCATTAGAGATGTTTCACAAAGTCATTCCTGTCTGCTGAAATTTCCTCAACCCCTTCTTTATCCAACTCCCTCTGGATACAAGGCTGGGCTTTAACAGCTAAAAATGTTCAATGGTACAGGACATACCTTGAAGCGGATGTTGTTGCTGACCAAAATGTTTCCCTTCATGAAGTCCTGTTCGTTCTGCCGGTTTTCAGTGACCACGGGGAAGGCGTGGTAGACAGTGGTGCGCAGAATGCTGACTAAAGACTGGACCCGGGTGTGGGGGTACACGTAGGTCAAGTTAGGCTCCATGATATCGCTGGCGGTCAGCCTTGGAAAGATGAGGGAAATGATACACACGAGCAACATGAACACACACGAGACACTGATGTTAGAATTCACTGGGTCCTTAAAAGGGACCCAGTGAATTAGTCCCTCCAAAATTGATAATCTTGTTAATAATGCTGCAGGCTCACTACGATCAACGGATCAACATTAGATTCTATCACTCCTATAAAAAGGAAAAGATTAAAGATAAGGAACTAGCACCTGGTACAACCACCAACCCGGCCAATTAAGCAAACAACAAGGCACATTGTAAAGGAAATGGCAGCTCTCGAAAGTTATTTAGAATATGCGTCAATTTTGGAATGGATTAATCTTAAACTTATAGAAAGGCCCTCCGTAATGCTAGAGGAGCTGTTATTCAGCACTTAATAGAAGGAAAATAAGAAATTCTTCAGCACTGTAGCCAGGCTGACCAGAGAGTCCACAGCTCTACTTGAGCCAATATCCCAATAAACTAGTACATGACTTCATGAGCTTCTTTTACTAATACAATGTATACTATTGGAGAGAAATTAGTGCACCAATTCCCTAAACAGGGTGAGCTCCACTGGCTCCGTCCAAGCTTTAGGAACTTTAACTATGTAAACTCACGAGGCTATACTACTTTAGAATGTTTTGTCTGCTATCAGATCTTCTTTTGCTGACTGTGGCGATAATGTTTCTTCAAGCAAAGGCCATCAACCGTCTGGTCTAGGAGCCCGCGAGTGTTCCCAGCCGAGGCAAGACACTGACGCGCTCGCGCTCTGTCCCCCGCGCAGAGTTACGGCGTGTGTACGAGTTGGCCAACAGTGTGGGTTTGACCTTAGATATGTAGCGTAAACGCTCTCGGTGACGTTGGTGTATCAGACGGGTGTCAGTCACCTCCTTTGAAACATACCGTGTAAGATTAACACCCCGTTCGTGAAAAGGCGCGCGTGCCCGCGGCACTCTCGAGCCTCAGTGCTTTTTATAGGCCCAAACTTAGTAGACCCGATTTCTCAAAACCTCCTCTTGCCTCTGTTTAAGGATTCTAAGAGAACCAGTGCACGTCACTTCAAAGAGCTGTGTGTGACGGTTCTTACAATTAGCAATGTTCAACTTTGAGGATTTCTCAGTCCAGGATTTTTCCAAAGTTCATCACAGAACCAAGAGAACAGCTCTACAGGTTAAAAGTTATTAATGAGCCTTTTGAAATTGCTTGACCGAACAAGTCATAGACTGGATACTTATATATTGTCTATGTACTTGTATTCAAATTACAGATCTCTAGTTGCACTGCAGATTTGCCTGTTGACACTTGTATTTCTATTCGCTGTGAACTCTTGGCGGTTCGGCACGCTGTGATAGCGGTTTAGTCAGCTTGTCGTCTTTCAGATATGTTCGTGTGCATGTTAGTCGTATCTTCTTCACCGTTTTTCTGGTTCGCCGAGTTCTGTTCTTGGCTGTTTTCTTGTCAGTTTTATGCTCCTTTTGGCCTTTTGGATCACTCTTCTTTTGCTTGAACTCCCGCCCCGTATTGGTCTTTACGACGTTTTTCCGATCAAGGCGGTGTATTTTCTTACTTCGCCTGTCCCTTAGAGGCTATCCCTGGGCCTTCCGCCGGCACCCTTCTCGATCTCTTGTGTACCCCCTTTTTTTTTGCTCCATGGCTCCGGCCTTTCTATTGGCCTCCACATGTCTCCGTTGCTCTCTAGGCCTTGGGCGACCTCCTGCCAGTCGGCATTGGGTTTCTTGCCGATTTGTCTTCCCACTACTCAGCCCCGGTCTCTTGGGTGTCTTCATTACTTTGCGATCCTAGCCGCCCGGCGATGAAAAAAAAACTAATCATCTTTACTTGTAATTAATTTGTTACTTCGTAGGCTGGATTCCTGCAATCTCCTTATTTCATGCTGGTTCCTCTCTGTACCTAAAAGTCCATGTTTAAGACCGCATCCAATTATTCAATTAAGCCGGGCTGCACCACGATAGTACTGACGAAGACTAGGGAAAGGATCACAGTCTCTCCTGATATTACTGCTTCTCTGCACGCTGAGTTCCCTTAGATAAAGATGTTGCGGAACTTAGAATTTAAATCCTTTCCTCCTCACCTATAAAGCTCCTCTCCCGCACATGGTCAGGCCCCGTTGCATATTCTTAAAGAGCTCGATCCGA